AACAGCACACTTGATACCGTCGAAAAACACTGGCCTTTATTTCCTACGCACTCATCTTTTATAGCGACCTGGTGCTGACGTAACACGATGCAAATCACATATCACACATCACATATCAGCACGTGTTGCAGTGGCTATTATGTTACAACACCTCGTAAACAGGGTGGCTAGTTTTTCTAACACAATCTGTCCTCCATCTTTCAGAGATCTGATGTTAACTGATCCTCACTAGCAGCTTTGCCTCTTTGCATGCTCTCCAAAGCTTTTCTGACTTTTTCTATCATTACTGGTGGGGTGTCCTCCGGGTTACTGCTAGTTCTTATAGTATTAAGGTCGTGGTTGTCTCAGCTACTGTACAGATCCCTGTAAAATTCCTCCGCTATTTTAACTATTTTATCCATATTAGTAGTTATTTTGCCTTCTTTGTCCCTTAGTGCATACATCCGACTTTTGCCTATCCCAAGTTTCCTCTTCACTGCTTTGACGCTTCCTCCGTTTTCGTTTTTCAGAGCATGTTCAATTCTCTCCATGTTATACCTTCTTACATCGCATACTTTGCGCCTATTAATCGACTTCGAATGCTCTACCAGTTCTATTTTGTCTGTTGTACTTGACACTTTCATGCTTTAACGCTTCCTAATTAGGTTCTTCGTTTCCTGGGAAAGATTGATTGATTGATTTGTGGGGTTTAACGTCCCAAAACCACTATTTGATTATGAGAGACGCCGTAGTGGAGGGCTCCGGAAATTTTGACCACCTGGGGTTCTTTAACGTGCACCCAAATCTGAGCACACGGGCCTACAACATTTCCGCCTCCATCGGAAATGCAGCCGCCGCAGCCGGGATTTGAACCCGCGACCTGCGGGTCAGCAGCCGAGTACCTTAGGCACTAGACCACCGCGGCCGGGCTTTCCTGGGAAAGCTTGCCAGTGTCCTGTCTAACTACCCTGCCTCCAACTTCCACTGCACACTCCGTAATGATACTCGTTAGATTATCATTCATTGTATCTACGCTAAGGTTGGTTTCCTCACTAAGAGCCGAGTACCTGTTCTGCAGCGACACTCTGAATTCCTGTACTTTCCCTCTCAGTGATAGCTGATGATGACATGCATACGTCAAATAACTCATGGCCCTCAGTTCCCAGCAGCTGCGAAGCAACCGACCATGGCGGCGGTCAGATCTGCAACGCAGCAGAGAGTGCTAAGAATCTCTGGACTACAGGCCGCCTTTGGAACCTGAACTTGGCAGCGTTTAACACTAGAACCTTATCTATTGAGGGAAGTCTAGCTGTACTATTCGAGGAGCTAGAGGGTGTTAAATGGGATATAATAGGGCTCAGTGAGGTTAGGAGGTCAGATGAGGACTATACTGTGCTACAGAATGGGCACGTCTTTTGCTATCGGGGCTTGGTAGACAGAACAGAACAGGGAGTGGGGTTCCTAATTCACAGAAACATAGCTGGAAACATAGAGAAATACTATAGCATAAATGAAAGGGTGGTAGGTATCGTAATTAAACTGAATAAAAGATACAATATGAAGGTAGTACAGGCTTACGCGCCTACATCCAGCCATGATGACGCTTCAGTTGAAAGCTTCTATGAAGACGTGGAATCGGCAATGAGTAAGGTAAACACAACATACTATAGTGATGGGCGACTTTAATGCAAAGGTAGGGAAGAAGCAGGCTGGAGACCAGGCAGTAGGAGATTATGGCATCGGAACTAGAAACGCCAGAGGATTGCTACTAGTAGAATTCACAGAACGCAATAATTTGCGGATTTTGAATACCTTCTACTGAAAACGAGAAAACTGCAAGTGGACATGCAGGAGCCCTAATGGCGAAAATAAGAACGAAATCGACTTTATAATGACTGCACGCCCAGGAATCGTGCAGGATGTGGAAGTGGTTGGCAAGGTACGATGCAGTGACCATAGAATGGTACGGTCTCGAATTCACCTAGACTTGAAGAAGGAACGACAAAAACTGATACGCAAAACAGAGTGGGCGTACACAAATCTAACGTGATTATTTGAGTAAGAACTTGCTAAGATACGAGTCAAATCAACCGGGGAAAGCAGACAGAGACCCAAGAGCTGGTGGGATGAGGAAGTTAAGAGAGCCACAGTGAGACGTCAGGAAGCCTCCAAAGAACACTGGTATGCTCAACAAAGGAGTGAATTGGATGATTTTGAAAGAAAATGGGATAACTTTTCGAGCTGCAGAAGGGAAGCGTCCGATTTTATCAGTGACAAGATTATAAGAAAGGGGACTCAAAGGGGACCCAACGAATGACGGAAGTAAACAAAAAGGATAGAAAGCCAGCTACAAAGTTTAGGAAACATCTCAATTCTCTCAGTAATAAGACAAGAATGAAACAAAGGTTATAACTACAGTTCAAGGGGTCAGATTAGACGGGGATGAGGCAATGAAATATATAAAAACAATTATAACAGAAAAATTTAAACAACACGAAAGCACTGCATGTACCGTAGCAAATGAAGATGAACCAGTGAGCTCAGTGGATCCACTGGGATAACGAAAGTGGGACAAGGCAATGATAAAGGTCCCTACTGGCACATGAACAGACCCTGACGGCATACCAATCTTGCTAATAAAAAAACTAGGACCAAACTCCAAGTAAACTCTAAGAAAGGCAGCGATCAAAGCAATAATTAATGGGGGAATTTCAATGTGCGAAAACTAAGCAGCATGAACATCGTCTATAAAGGAAAGGGGGACAAAGCAGATATAAACAACTACTGTCCTATAACAGTGACAAAGTAGTTTGCAGGATGGTGATGCACATAGCGACGGAAAGACTACAGACATTTGTGGAGAATAAGGGGGTCCTAGGAGAACTACAAAAGGAGTTCCGTAAACGAAGGAGGTTGGAGAATAATTTGTTTTCATTGATGCAGTGCACTGAAATAGCGGAAAAAGAACACTGGCCCCTGTGGCTGGCATTTCTAGATGTCAAGGGAGCTCACGATAGTGTGATTCAAGAAGACTTGTGTGTAATACGGGACACATTAGACGTAGAATATGGAATAACTAATCTTCTAAAGGATATCTATAAAAGTAACAAGGCAGCTATCAAATGGAAAGAACAGGTATGTGAACCTATGGAGACACAGCGCGGGCTTTGACAGGGATGTCCCTTGTCACTTTTGTTATTTATGCTGTATCTCCAGGAACTAGAAGCCAAAGTAGAGGGAAGTCGACTAGGCTTCAGCCTCTCTTTTGCCAAGCAAGGAAAACACATTGAACAGTCATTACCAGCATTATTGTATGAAGATGGTATTGTATTAATAGCCGACAACAAGGAAGATCTGCAGGGATTGATAGACATGTGTGGTAATGAGGGAGTTATGTTATATTTGAAGTTCAGAGAGGACGAACTGGCAATCATGATTTTTGATGGTAACAAAGGCAGCGAGCATGAGATACAATAAGTAGCAGTAGAAATAGTTGATAAATGCAAATATTTGGGTGTATGGATAAATAACAGGGCTGAGTATCTAAGGCAGCACGAAAGATACGTAATGACGAAGGGCACCAGTATTATAGTTATAATGAGAACAGGGCCCTGTGTAACTACAACAGGTATGACGTTGTGAGAGGGGTGGCAGCGTCATTGTGAGAGGGATTTAGAAAGGTGTTATGGTCCCGAGTTTGACGTTCGGCAATGCGGTCTTGTGCATGAAATCTGAAGTTCAAACAAGATTGGAAATTGAACAACGTGACATAGGTAGACTTGTTTTGGGAGCACACTGGAATACTCCAAATCAGGGACTACTGAATGACGTGGGATAGACGTCGTTTGAGTGCAGAAAGGCTAGCAGCAAGAAAGAATTTGAGGAGCGATGGAGAAAAATGGGAGAGGAGTGTTGGGCTAGAAAAGTTTTCAGTTGCTTGTACATGAAGAATGTCAATACTGAATGGAGGAAGCTAACTCGAAAATTGACAAGCAAGTATTTAGACAAAAGCAAAATACCAAGCCAAAAGGAAACATCAATTAAGAAGAAGGATAAGTAAACAGAGAGGGACATGCGGAAGATGTGAATGCTTACGAAATCGTCACTGGAGACCTGCCGAACGTTTAATCCGTCGGTCCGTACGTGCGTCCGTCCGTCCGTCCATCCATCCATCCGTTCATCCGTTCATCCATCCGTCCGTCCATCCACCCACCCGTCCACCCACCCATCCGTCCGTCCACCCACCCATCCGTCCGTCTATCCATCCATCCATCCATCCATCCATCCATCCATCCATCCATCCATCCATCCATACATCCATCCATCCATCCATCCATCCATCCATCTATACATCCACCCATCCGTCCGTTCATTCATCCTCCCGTCTGTCCATCCATCAACCCGCCCGTCCGTCCGTCCATCCGTTCATCCATCCATCCATCCATCCATCCATCCATCCATCCATCCATCCATCCATCCATCCATCCATCCATCCATCCATCCATCCATCCATCCGTCCGTCCGTCCGTCCGTCCGTCCATTCATCCATCCATCCATCCATCCATCCATCCATCCATCCATCCATCCATCCATCCATTCATCCATCCATCCATCCATCCATCCATCCATCCATCCATCCATCCATCCATCCATCCATCAATCCATCGTTGCAATGTGGACTTGTTGGTGATGCACTTGAAAGCAGTGGATATAGTGCGAGGCGAAACACGAAAACAGGACTTGACTAACAGTACTCTTTCCAGTCCATCTGTGCCTTGCCGCAATTACCTCGTGCTACACATAATTATTTCAAAATAATCTTGCATTAAGTTCATTTTAGACCGTCACACTGGTCAATTTCCCGCTCGTCATTTCAAATTGTGGTGCTAGTGCTTCATACTCGGGATGTTATATTTTGGAATAGGAGGTAAACTAACTCAAAAATATTGGTTGGTATTCGCTTAATATACTGGCCGAGGTCTGAGTGAGCGCTTTTTGCAGCTGACATCATGCAAGGCGTTATGGCATTTATGCTGCTGCTGTGTTCATCCTTGGAACTGTGCCGTGCCGAGTGCACACCCGAGTACCGGAAGCTGTCCAGAAGTGGCATCACACACACGGCCTGCAAACCACCCAACCCACGTTGTCGCATCATCGAACGTGGCTTGAGAGGAGGAGAAGCTGAAGAGATTCTGCGATTGCATAATGCATATCGAAGTCGGATGGCGCTAGGCATGGTGCTGGGATTCAAGCCAGCTGAGAACATGCAACAACTGGTGAGCAATGCATTCGTTCACATGACTCAAACTAGACACTAAAGGCAAACAATAGAGTGGTGTGGACTGTTGATGTGGTGATTCAAAAACACCATAGTGCTCGTTTCATGCCAAGGAAATACTTGAGTCATAGCAACAACCCGCTGCCAAGAACGGCCTTTTGGCGTACCCTCAACTCGCTTCCATGCCCGGCAGCTGGCGCTGCAGAGCGACACTGAAAAGCTATTTTCAGTCGCTTAGCAAAGTACTCGTTACTATATTATATCTGTAACGGATACGGCACTTAAGGAAGAGAAAAAAGACAATTAATCGTTTTGTAGCCCGAAGCCACAAGGAAATCTGTGCGAATCGCTCAGAAGGAAAAGCCCTTTGGTTGCAGACAAATTCGTCCTGGTCCAGGGTTTGAGCCCGGTACCAACACCTACCCAGGACGGTCACCCTGCCGATTGAGCTAACCAGGAAGCTAGCAATTGATGGCGCGAGGGTGAATTCGTCGACAGCTCAAAGCGCATGGACACAAGTATTTCAAAGGAGTTCTGCGAAAATCCGCAAGGTGGAGGAAGGGTTAGTAAAAGAAATAATAGGCAACAAGAAAAATCTGCAGGGATTGATAGACACCTGCGGTAATGAGGGAGTTAGGGTAAATGTGAACTTCACCAGGGATATTCAACAGTAACGCAATTGGTTACAGTAATCCACTCATTTGCACTAAATCTTGATAACAATAGGCAAACTGACATAATTTTCTTAGATTTCAGTAAAGCGCTTGACAGAGTTTCTCAGGATAAACTGATTCAAAAACTTGAGCGGATTGGCCTTCCAGACATTCTCGTAAACTGAATTGCCGAATATCTTGCTAACCGGTCACAGTTTGTTGCCATTAATGACCATTGTTCACCATCTCTTCATGTCTCATCAGGTGTGCCCCAGGGAAGTGTACTGGGGCCATTGCCTTTTCTCATTTATATCAACAATATTTTCAATGTCATAACACCTACAGTACAAATTGGATTATTTGCCGATGATTGTGTTTTGTTTCGTGATATTTACTCTGTTCATGATCAAAACGAACTTAGCACAAATCTTTCTATTATAGATCAGTGGTGTAATGAATGGGGAATGACCCCCAACGTAGACAAAAGTGTTTGTATGCGTCTGACACGTAAAAAAAAATCTACTGGACTTTATCTACCAACTAGGGCCGTCAACCCTGAGAGAGGTCACTAGCTATAAATATTTGGGCTTGACGATAACTAACAATTTATCTTGGAACGTCCACATAGACAACGTATGTTCAGCTGCCCTCCAAAAACTCGGCTTTTTAAGACATAAACTGCGTAACTGCCCTCCAAAAGTAGAGCTTTTTAGTTATTTTTATTTTGTAAAGCCTAAATTAGAATACGCCAACACAGTATGGGATACTTGAGTTTAATATTGATAAAATTGAGCGCGTTCAAAAGAAAGCAGTTCGTTTTATGTACAACAAATACTTACCATCTGATTCACCCCCTGCACTAATGACTGCAAATGGCATTCAGCCACTTGCTTCGCGCAGACTCAAACAACGGCTTGATTTCGTTTTCTTGTTACCTAACAATAAACTCGCCATTGATCCATCACCGTATCTATCTTTCCTATCAACTAGGCAGACCCGACATCACCATCCCAATTTGCTTACCCCATATTTCGCGAGAACTGATGTCTTCATGTATTCCTTCTTTCCACGGACAGTGTCTGATTGGAACAAATTATGTGATCTCCATTCATTGTAAATTAAGTAGAGTGAATCGCATTATGTATGGTGCATGTTATTCCTGTTTTTTTATGTAATGTGCCCTTCCTGCTTATACCATTTATGGTTCGCAGTATGTACTAAATAAAAAAAATTAAAAAAAACTTGAAATTTAATCTATCTCTCTCATTACCGCCCATGTCTATCAATCCCCGCAGATCTTCCTTGTTGTCGGCTATTAATAATATACCATCTGCTTACATCAATGCTGGTAATGACTGTCCAATGTGCTTTCTTTGCTTGGCAGAAGAGAGGCTGAAGCCGAGTCAACTCCCCTCTAGTTTAGCTTCTAGTTTCTGAAGATACTGCTTAATTGCAAAGGTGACAAGGGACATACCTGTTTAAGCCCGCGTTGTATCTCTATAGGTTCAGATAACTGTTCTTCCCATTTGACCTTGTTACTTTTGTAGATATCCTTTAGAAGATCAGTTATTCTGTCTTCCACATCTAGCGTGTGCAGTATTCCCCACAAGTCTTCTTGAATCACACTATCGTAAGCTCCCTTGATATCTAGAAATGACAGCCACAGGGGCTTGTGTTCTTTTTTCCGCTATTTCGATACACTGCATCAATAAAAACAGACTGTCTTCCAACCTCCTTCGTTTACGCAACCCATCTTGTAGTTCTCCCAGCACCCTCTCATTCTCCACCCATGTCTGTAGTTATTCCTTTACTATCACTGACCGACACTGACCGATCAGTGCTTCTAGCGGCCACGGCTGGAAACTCGCTCGTTTTCACACGGCCGGGCTTGACTGCACTTGCGCGCGCTTGTTTCCGTACGGCCTTCTCAACCGTCGCGAATACAGTGGGAGAGTTTCTGAGTATGTTTCGTCAACCGTCGGCATTAGGGGCGCAGCGACGCTGCCGTTGCATCTTTTGCGCCGCGTACACAGCACAAGGGTGATTGTTGATGCGAAACCGGGGAATAAGGGTTCTCGACGATGACCAGTAGGGGTATTACTCAAGAAGTCGGTGGTAGAGGGATCATCTCTCCTGTAATAAAGAACTAATGTTATCAGACAGCTCAACGCATAATTGAGGTGTGCATGCGCTCGTCGATACTGCAAGCTGAAGCTCAGTAAAAATGCAGAAAATTGTGTAACTAGGCCTAATGCATGAAGCATAAAGCATTGGCAACGATCAGAGAGATATAGAGAGATAAAGAACACTGCATCTGTTCTTCAAGCGGCAAGCACTAAACTTAGTACCTTTGGTACTTGCTCTCGTTGGACAACGAGGCCACAATTAAAGGTCGCTTACAGGAATGACGAGCACACCTTCCCTTTGCTATCTATTTTCTATTTCTTCATTTTTGCAAATACATCTGTAGTAATGTTCAGGGCTAAAAGCTATGTTGTAGGCCCGTGTGCTCAGATTTGGGTGCACGTTAAAGAACCCCAAGTGGTCAAAATTTCCGGAGCCCTCCACTACGGCGTCTCTCATAATCATCTAGTGGTTTTGGGACGTTAAACCACACATTTCATTTCATTTCATTTATTGCATCCTTAAAGGCCCGAGGGCATTACATAAGGGGGGGCAAAAAATACGATGTGAGTGTGTATAATTCAAGTTGAACAAATTATTATAAACAGTACAGTTCTAATATGGTAGTTTGGTCAAAAATTACAACAAAAATGAATAAAAAAACGCTTTGGCTGGGAATTAGAGTACAAACAACTAGGCACAAGCAAATTATACATACAGTACGTTGGTAGAATATATTAACAGCCACGGGTTAATGGGTGGAATCAAAGTGGGATTCCAATTTTGCGCGGAATGATGTGCGGTCAGGTGTGGCAACAATGGTGTCGGGAAGGCGATTCCAAAGTGTTATTGCTTGGGGGAAAAAGGAGTCGTTCATTGCGGATGTACGGCCGTTGATTCGTGCAATGGGGTTTGAATGGTTAATGCGGGAAGAAGTTCTGTTTGGGGGCTGTAAAAGTTCGTGTCTTGATTGGGGTCGGAAAAAGAAACTGTGGCGGAGGCATAGGCGCGAGATGAGGCGGCGCGACGCGAGTGATGGCAGTTCAATTGATTGTTTTAGGGCGGTGACGCTGATTTCTCTGGAGAACTGTGAGGTTATAAAGCGGGCAGCGCGGTTTTGAACTGCTTCTAGTTCGCTAACGAGGTTCGCTAACATATCAATCAATCAATCAGGGCTAAAAGCTGCAGTCTGCTGCTTGACAGCTCTTTGAAACACGTATGTCCCTTTTATCCCAACAGTTAAAATTATAAGTAAAGAAGTGCACTTTTACTGCTGAATAACCCCTTCAGACGGCATGCCCTGGAGGAGTGGCGTGCTTTGTCAAGGTTTTAACACCACCTTTAAACATTAAGGCCAGGGACACCAAGCTCTTTTGCATTCCTTCGTACTGCAAGCCACATCCATAAATATTGTGAAGAATACAGCAGCTTACGCTTGCAATCCGCTTGCTTTCTAACTAAAATCGCTTGAGCGAATCCTTTCTGCGCTATACTTTGAGTTGTTGGAAGAACATGTTTTGAAAGCAAAAATACATCCTAACTTTTCGGCAAACAAGCAGCTTCTTTTTTTAATTCTCATGTGACTCTACAAACAGCTAGTTGCTGATTTCTCTTTCCCTCTAGTGAGACTAGCTTTATTCTGGTATTTACCCACCACTGCTGCATTTTGTTCAGAGCTTTCTCAGTGTTCAGCCTGCAGTGATTTTTTTTATTCAGGAAGATGGTCATACAACCTTCAGTGCGAGCAGTACGTACGGATATATATTAGCTGTGCGAAGTGTATTGTTGTGGTCTGTATTGCAAGTATTGTTAGGGGAAAACACCCGGTGTTACTTTTCACCAATTCCCGAGCAATGGGGAACTGTGCGCTGAATGGCAAAAGAATATTGCGAGAGAGAACTTCATCACCAACGACAAGTCTGCATCGACTGACGTATGCAGCAGACACTTGCGCAATGTAGACTATGTGCCTGTGCGCTGCATCAGAAAGCTCCTTCCCGACTCTGCGCCCACTCTCTTCGAGGACTATCCTTCCTACATGAGACCAAGTGCAAAGAAGCCCCGCAAAGATCCTGCTTCTTGAGCTTCGCTTCTACGCCAAACATCAAGGAAGTGAAAAGCGGAGCCTAATGAACCAGACCTGGATGTTGCGATTTCACAAGATGCTTTCAATGAACAAGAAGCAGTAAGTGTTTGTACGCAAAGAATGAACAGTAATACT